GAACATTTTAGTTTTATCCTTGACATGTTATAGCTCCAAAGTACAATATGGTGCTCAAGCACGAGGCACTGACAAATATGCAAGACTCAACGCAGCTGTCAAAGATGTCCATCTAGTGCATTTTTTACCTAGAAAATCTAAAAAGCAGCATAGTGAAACACACACACAAATGTTGAATGTGACAGTCTAATGCTCTAACAGGTCAACTAATGCTCTGTAGGTCTGGTGCAGTAATTTGACCCATTTGTTAATGTCCCTGAAAATCCAGCATGGACGTGAATAACGGGATGTGACTGTAAAGCAGAACTGCATGTGAACAGAAGCTTTTCAAGTGACTGTTTGAGTTTATTGTTGTTTAAATACTTCTCTCAGTACAGACTCTGTGCACTATTTCAGTCTGGAAAGAACTTTGGAAGACTCTGTGGAACTGAGTATTGACAGTTCCACAGAGTCATGTGGCCAAAACCTTGCTGGACACAATATCATTACATAACACTGTTCGTGGGATGCAGCTATCAGAGTGGCAGCACATTAAAGCACGGGCATTGTGTTTCTCTCTTAAGAAGAGGAAAGGTCTATGAAATAGGTTAAGAGAGGAATAAATGTGTCTGTTTTTGTAACTAACATTCTGCTTTATGAATCCGTGTTATTTGTTCTGTAAATAGGTGCATACAAATGTGTTACTAGGAACTGAGAGTTTAATTCAGCAGCTTTAATCCTTGTTTAGCTAAATCACACAGACATGAACTTTTCTAAACCAATTAGAGTCTTTTAAAGTATACAAAGTGTATACTCAATGAACCTCTAATCTCTCTCGCAGAGTGAAACACCCAGAATGACTGGAGGTCTTTTCACTCAATAATTGGGGGCCTTGAGTGAGAGAGGGACAGTAGCACATTGTTCGAACAAAAGCACGGCTGACAACATACAATGCAAATCACTCAGCCAGGCCCATGAGAAACATTTGATCTATGTTATTTCATGGGATTTAGAATAAGTGATGGGGAAACATTCATCCACACACACACACACACACACACACATCTAATCTGGCCTTTACAAGAATGAAATGTTTATATTCGTGCAATTACCAATAAATAGGGTAGTAGCTGCTTGTGTTATTATATCAAATGATTATGTTAAATGTTGTCACTACGTTAACTTTTAGCATTTGATAAAAAGAGAGACATATTTCATCACATCTGATTCAAAACATCATCTGATGTAAACGTGACAACCATAAGGAGATAAACAGGTTACTCTAAATAAATAAATAAATGCTTTACAAAAATGATTGTAGAAAACATAATACATAAAAAAACAGCAAATTAAATGTACAGAACAAATATGTTCAGTAATAATAATAATATTCAGTTTAAAGGAATGGATTGTTAATTCCCTTCCAAATTCTGTCATCATAGAAACATCATAGGGTTTCTATGGGTTTTAAAAAGACTTCATTCATCCTTCCACACATTAAGGCATTAAAAAGGTCTTAAATTGGAGCAGAAAGCCATTAATTCTTTTGGTCACAGAGTCACAACATTAAATGTTCCTTTCACAGCACAAATGAATATCTTCCTCTGTTTTTCTGTCTTGTTTTCCAATACAAATATCTAAAAATTATTCTTATATGAAGATAAATTTACTTGACATGCAAAATGAAGAAGTTTTCTTTCCTGAGACATTTAACAAAATTGAGTTTATACTTTTAAACAAGAAAAAAATCCATCAGTGAGGTATGACAACTTGTTTCCCCCTTTGAATTCAGTGTATTTTTCTGACCCCATTGGCAGATATTTGTTCTTGTTTTAATCAAACCACAGTTTCTCAGAAAATGTTGCATCTCAGTGTATTTTGATTGAAGAATCTTTAGACATTCGCAATGGAAAACAAGACAAAAATACGGAGCAAAAACATTGCTTTTAGCAGTGTGATCAGAATGTACTTTAAAAAAGTTTTTTTCCCATATCCTAGTGATTTTTTTTTTATTATTAAAATAAATTATGGAGATCTGTTGAAGGCTGTGTTTTCAAACTTTGAAGTGTTGCTAATAGAACCCATTGTCAACTCTTTAGACATTTACATTTGCAGAATTTTATCATATTGTGTTCCCTTGAATTTTCTCTACATGCCATCTTCATCTACTGACTAATGTAACAGCAACGGCTCAATCCCATCCTTCAATGAAGCGTGCTGCCCTACTAAATAAAAAATTGAGCTACATTTTAGGTCGGTCTCTAAATGCTCACACAGTGCTATCATCACATGCAGTAAAGCTTACTTGGACCCAGCAACAGCGACAACACATCACTTCCCCAGATCCGGCTGTCAGAGGAAATCTCCAAGTCCAGTGGCTGTCAGAGATCAATCGTACAGTAGAATAAACAGATTGGTAATGATGGGGAAAGGCTTCCTATCAAACCTTTGTAGCATCCCTCAAAGATGGTAAACATATTCTGGTGAGAAGAGCAGGTGCTGCACTTCAGGTGTGCTCTGAAAAGGCTTTCTTTTTTTGTTAAGCTGATTATGAGTTGAGGAGGAGGTAGAAAACCCATCGAGGAAGAGAAAGGCACGTAGTAACAGACTAACAGTGTAGTAGTGTCTGTCATCGGTAAACCTATTAAGGGATACAAATAGTTACGAGAAAGCTTTTGATTAGAGATAGAACCCTTTTGAACCCATAAACAACATCTGTTTGCCTAAAAGTGAGGCTGTGTAATTTTGCATGTTTTTTTTATTATTAAATGAATAATAATTGTCACAACTTCATCCTTATGACTGTAATAAAATCAACAATTCACACAACATTAATTTATTTTTTTTAATTTGTCTGAAACGCTCTAAAAATATTCATATGCCTGAATATAAATCAGAATAATTTCAGATGAATCTCTTTTACTGGGATTCTGCTTTGTCTGTCACTGGTTATTCAATTAGTCAAATACAATTTTAAATAGAAGAGTTAATTTAGTATTTTACATTAATGACACTTTAAAAATATGAAAATATTAAGAACGATATTAAAAGTCATCTTATCCCTCTTTTAATATTTTACATTTTGTGCTATAACATCTAAATTAGGAAGTATTCACATTGGCTGATGCATCATATTGCGCATGCTTTGTATCTAAACATGTTATAGCTTAAAAGTACATTTTATATGTTGAGTAACAAAGTACCGTAATTAGTTACTTTTTCATGGAGTAACGCGATATTGTAATGCATTACTTTTAAAAGTAACTTTCCCCAACACGGTTTATAACTATTACTATTATTATTAATGTTAGTTTTTTAACACGTGACCTCTATGGTGTGTTACATGAATCTCAGTCCGGGTGTTTCCATCACTCTAATAAGCACAAATTACTTCGTGTCTTTGTTTATTGCTGAAGTGTGTTGAAATGTCTTCTTCTGCGTTCTACTGTACAGATGTAAATGTACTTTCCCTTCAGCCTGAGGCGTATTCATTTCACTTCTGGTGTGAAAAGGCTTTTATATTTGCCAGAAATATAACTTTTTTATTTGAAAAACAAACAAGCAAGCCCTGTCCAGATTTTAAAAGTAACGCAAAAGTAACGTAACCCATTACTTTCCATAAAAAGTAACAAAGTACCGTAATTAGTTACTTTTTCATGGAGTAACGCGATATTGTAATGCATTACTTTTAAAAGTAACTTTCCCCAACACGGTTTATAACTATTACTATATTATTGTTAGTTTTTTAACACGTGACCTCTATGGTGTGTTACATGAATCTCAGTCCGGGTGTTTCCATCACGGTTTTGCGCTCCGGCTGCGTAAAGCAAGCAAGCATGGCGGCCGAGGGAGATGTGGATCTGGACCTGGAGGCTGAGGAGAACTGCACGGGGAAACCAACAGAAAAGCCCCGAAAACATGATAGTGGAGCTGCTGATTTGGAAAGGGTTACCGACTATGCGGAGGAAAAAGAAATTTCCAGCTCGAATTTGGAAACGGTGAGTTAATATACGTTTCAGACGCGAATGAAGCTAGTCATGCTAACGCTGAGTAACCATGTGCGTCCTCTAAAATCACAATATTACTTACTTCGCCACCATAACGTTTGAATAGTGTGATGTTTAAGCAGTGGACTGATCAGCCGGCTTGGTTAGTTACGTTAGCTAAGTGAGCACTGAAGAGAAAAGTGAGATTAAGCTCTCAATGTTCATTTACGTCGCCACCTAACCTTTATAGGAGATGCTGAAGCCCGAGAACTTATGAACGCTGTCATTTCAGAGTATATTTACTTATGAATGCTATTGTTTGAATTTGAATCCGTCATGTGTGTGTGTCTTTGAAGGCTATGTCCGTGATTGGAGACAGAAGATCCAGAGAACAAAAAGCAAAACAGGAAAGGTGAACAATATTGTTTGATTACAATCATCAGCTATATGTCTGTGGTTCAGAAATGACCATCTCTGTCTCTTCCACAGAGAAAAAGAACTAGCCAAAGTAACAATAAAGAAGGAAGATGTGGAGCTCATCGTAAGTATACAAAAGTGTATTTTCATGCTAGATTAATGAGTGTGTGTATAATTTAGATTCATAAATGTTTATATTTGGATGATTCTGCTGACAGATGGGAGAGATGGAGATTTCGCGAGCAGTGGCGGAGCGCAGTCTGAGAGAACACATGGGCAATGTGGTGGAGGCGTTGATTGCACTGACCAACTGAGTGGATTTGACTGCTTCGAGATGTATGGACACATTGGACTGCCTTTTTCCTGCTTGTGATGACCCTTTCCTTTTCACACTGTACTTATTCTGTAATAAAGGAACCTTTTTTAAACCATCTTTACCAGTGCAACTTACCCGACCCTCTTTTTAGTAATGCATTCCGGATGAACCAATGCAATCAGTCTCATAGCAATTTATTACCACAAAACAAAAAGTAGATTTTCTTCCCATTAGAAACAGTGGAACTAGCCTTAGAATCCTGTATACACAATTCAATGTTGTGTAGATGTATACAATTCAAATGCAATAAAGATTATGTTCTTTGTTATGAGATTACTTTATCATTAGCAAAACAAAGGTGATGGAGGGGAAAAAGAAGTTTAAAAGTGTCCTTGTTTGAGCTGAATTTGCTCTTCTACCATAAATAAGATTATGTCTTCCTCTTGTGCACTGTTGGCCGATCGAACACGTCTCTCACACCCCCAGCCTTCTGTTTGAAGAACTTGCTGTTCTGAGCGCTCTCCTGAGCCCAGGCAGAATCAAATGAAGTGGTGTCCTGATCCACCAGATGCGTGTATTTTGTACGTCCGGAACGTCCAAAGTTTTTGACCTACAAAGCACATTGAATAATTAGTCATATTAGTGTTACACATGGATGCTAGAATACTACAATTATGTACCCCTAAGGTGAAGGAGTACATTTGCTAGAATGGGTTAACTCCACTTTCCTCTCAATCGTGGCCATGAATTAAAAATTTGTTTCCCCAAAATATTTAAACATTTGCCACTATTTTCTAAAACAAGTTCTTAATTAATGGCCTTGAAAAAGAAAAGCACGCAATGAAAATTCTGCTTCCATCTAATCAACAACCCCTATATTGAACCATTACACCCCTCCTACATTATTATTATTTTTTTGCAGAATTACATCATAAAACAGAAGCAAGGATCTGTGGCGAAGTCTGTTTCATGCGACTTTGAGCAATCAAATCTGATTTTAGTCTCAAAAGGCAATTTCCAAAATGTGATTGAGTGTTTAACATTGGAAGCTTTGAAAAACAAACCCCAAAATAAACTGATTTGAAGAATTAAACTGTACAACTCGGTAGGGGTGGGCGATGTACTGGTGGACACGAGCGAAAGATCTCATTTCACAATATGCAAACTTTTGTCTGAGACCGAGTTTCTGAGCACTGTCTGAGAGGCGCGCACACATGAAGACGGTACTTACAGAGCGCAGGAGTACTGAATATTTTTGCCGCTTTATAGGCCTTGAATGGTTAAATACACAAACTCGTATGTGTCAAAATGCCCATCTTTGCAAGTGAAAGGAAACAGCTGAGAAAGAAAACGTGTAACAGTGTATTGGATCCAGGCATCTCTTAAAGTAACAGCAGTCGTAATATTCCTGCTGTCTGTAATTCATGTTAATCAAACAACAAAAGAGAAAATCTCTCACTACTCTTGAATAAATCATTTTTTATAACTTTAAGAAGGAATATTAACACAGTGAAGAATATGCAGCTTTCATACATTTGCTTACTTTATACAATGTATGTAGCATTTCTCATTTCTTCTACTGTAGTTTTTTTTGTTCTACTGCTTGTAATTAATTTTTTTATTTAAAAGGGTCATATGATGCGATTTCAATTTGTACTTTCTCTTTGGAGTGTTACAAGCTCTTGGTGCATAAAGAAGATCTGTAAAGTTGCAAAGACTAAAGTCTCAAATCCAAAGAGATATTCTTTATAAAAGTTAAGAGTCAGCCACGCCTACCTAAAACGGCTCGTTCTAACACACCCCCACATGTCTACATCACTATTTGGGAAGATTTGCATAACGCCGCCCAAATGTTCACGCAAAGAAAGAAGGCCTAACTTTTATTCTCGCTGTAGTATTGTTGTTGCTGCCACCGCCATGTCGTGAAGACGCTGTGTTTCGTTGTGAAAGCGAAACTACTTTGTTTGGCCTTCCTAAAGAGGACGATATCTGCTTGGTTATGCCTGGAGCTGATCCGTGCTGGTCGCTGAGGAAATACATCAACTTCGCGCTGTGGATCACCGGATCGGCTTTCACCGTGGACGAAGCGGAGTCCAGCCAGGGGTCGTCACATGTGGTTGCCGCAAGCCCTCCGGACGCTCCTTCATGAATCCGCCAGCCGCGCCTTTCTCAAGCCCGCCGTGTGTTTCGTTGTGAAAGCGAAACTACTTTGTTTGGCCTTCCAAAAGAGGACACGACTAGAAATCAGTGGTAAAGTTGTATTTACAACACTGTTCCAGAACAGTTCAACCCAAATATTCAGATGTGTGCTGCGCATTTTATGGAGGACTGTTTACTGATCCTGGAAGAGTAGACTACAATGCCGGCAGTTCTGACTCACAGTCTGTAAGTACGTTTTCATATTTAAAGGATTTGCCTCTGACGATTCAAACGCGAGTTTTGGGCAGTGTAGAGTAGCGTTTGTTGTTTGTCATTTCTCTGATCACAAATGCAGACAGGGTTTTATGTTTACGCGGCGCGATGCAACGCGTAAAAAGACAGTATAAGTCATTATAATCAGTAATTATGTCCCCACTGGATGCAACAAATGCCTTGTTTATAATGGGTTTGAATGTTTTTTTG